GGTCCAAACTAGAGCCCCTTGTAGCGCCACCTCGGGGAAACTTGAGGGTTGGTTTTAGTTGTACGGGATGCGCATCCGGTGTGCCCTGAGAATGAGATATGTGCAGCTCCTATCGGGGTTTGTCGGCACATTTGGGCGTCTTTGCTGGTCTTGTTTTACCATTGTTGAAATGTCTTGTAACCGGGATTCCGAGTCTGATCGGGTCTTCCTGGGAGAAGGAATATCCTTCGTTGACCGTGAGAGCTTGTGATGGGCTAAGTTGGGACGCCCTGCAGGGTTTGAACTTACGAAAGCCGTGCCCGTGGGTATGGGCAGATGGGAATTTGTTAATGTCCAGTTGTAGAGAACTTGACACTTGACTTAATTAAAATGCATCAACCGCGTGTGTAGCCGTGATGGTCTCTTTCCGGTGGAGTCCGGGAAGTGAACACGGTTCTTGTGTTATGTTTGTGCGTAATTAGATTCAGGATCACTTATTGATCACTTCTAGCTTCACGACCGTTGCGTTGCTTCTCTTCTCGCTCTTATTTGCATATGTTAGCCACCATATATGCTTAGTGCTTGCTGCAGCTCCACCTCACTACCTTCCCCTACCCATAAGCTTAAATAGTCTTGATCTCACGGGTGTGAGATTGCTGAGTCCTTGTTGCTCACAAATACTTCCAAACAGTTGCAGGTGCCGATGATACCAGTGCAGGTGACGCAACCGAGCTCAAGTGGGAGCTTGATGAAGATCTTGGTCGTTGTTTTGTTTCGTTTCCCGTTGATCAGTAGTGGAGCCCGGTTGGGACGATCGGGGATCTAGCATTTGGGGTTGTCTTCTTTTATTTTGGTTCTGTAGTCGGACCTTGATTGTATTCTGGATGATGTATGTTTAACTTGTATTTGTGTGAAGTGGCGATTGTAAGCCAACTCTTTATCCCTTTCTCATTCGGTACATGGGATTGTGTGAAGATTACCCTCTTGCGACAAGCCTACCATGGGGCTATGCCTCTAAGTCATGCCCCGACACGTGGGAGATATAGCCGCATCGTGGGCATTACATTCGTTCATCTTCATTCGTGTGTCTTTGGGTTAGATTCTTCTAACCTATGCTTCTCTTCATCGACGGCGATTGTTGTTCTGGTGCGCTGGTCCTACGGGGTCTTAGCATGGCGAATTCCCGACTGTCTACTACATAAAGTTTTGTCCGGCTCTCGTGTGTGTGTGTGTGTGTGTTGTGGGGGGGTGACGGTATGACAGTCGCACGTCTTCGCCTCGCTTAGACCTAAATGTAACTTTAGTCTTTGTACTGCCATGATAAAGAATAGATCGCAAGTTATATGGAATATTGGATAGCAGATGCACTGTCATACCAGTTCACCAGGTATTTTCTTTTTATACATTATCTCGTTATTTTATCTCAAAATAGTATATCAATTTTTTATATATTTTGTAGGAGGATATGAAACATTTTTGACAAAAATTAGCTGTCATTTTGCTCGATTCAGAGCTGAATAAGCTAAAAGGAAGTCCCATATACCATCAACCTGACGATGAAGAAACTTTAGCTAATTCTGATCTCGAGATCCTCGAGAATCCACCTGACGTAGTCAAAGACAAACATCCTTCCCCAATCACTATCATACCCATAGACCAATATGAATTACTTGCTGGCCTTTGCAACAACATCATGTCGATCGATGATGCCGGGTGTTTGGAGTAAGTATCATGTATCAATATTTAATGTGCGGACGTACATTATGAAGGAAATATGCCCTAGAGGCAATAATAAAGTTATTATTTATTTCCTTATTTCATGATAAATGTTTATTATTCATGCTAGAATTGTATTAACCGGAAACATGATACATGTGTGAATACATAGACAAACATAGTGTCACCAGTATGCCTCTACTTGACTAGCTCGTTGATCAAAGATGGTTATGTTTCCTAACCATAGACATGAGTTTTCATTTGATTAAATGGGATCACATCATTAGGAGAATGATGTGATTGACTTGACCCATTTCGTTAGCTTAGCACTTGATCGTTTAGTTTGTTGCTATTGCTTTCTTCATGACTTATACATGTTCCTATGACTATGAGATTATGCAACTTCCCATTTACCGGAGGAACACTTTGTGTCCTACCAAACGTCACAACGTAACTGGGTGATTATAAAGGTGCTCTACAGGTGTCTCCGAAGGTACTTGTTGAGTTGGCGTATTTCAAGATTAGGATTTGTCACTCCGATTGTCGGAAAGGTATCTCTGGGCCTACTCGGTAATGCACATCACTATAAGCCTTGCAAGCATTGTAACTAATGAGTTAGTTGCGGGATGATGTATTGCGGAACGAGTAAAGAGACTTGCCGGTAACGAGATTGAAGTAGGTATTGAGATATCGACGATCGAATCTCGGGCAAGTAACATATCGATGACAAAGGGAACAACGTATGTTGTTATGCGGTTCGACCGATAAAGATCTTCGTAGAATATGTAGGAGCCAATATGGGCATCCAGGTTCCGCTATTGGTTATTGACCAGAGAAATATCTCGGTCATGTCTACATAGTTCTCGAGCACGCTTAACGTTCGTTGACGATATAGTATTTATGAGTTATGTATGTTGGTAACCGAATGTTGTTTGGAGTTCCAGATAAGATCACGGACATGACGAAGAACTCCGGAATGGTCCGGAGATAAAGTTTGATATATGGGATAATAGTGTTTGGTCTCCGGAAGGGTTCCGGAATTCACCAGAAGGGGTTCCGGATGTTCCCCAAAATGTTTGGGTACGAGAACACTTTATTTGGGCCAAAGGGGAAAGCCCACAAGGTTTTTGGAAAGCGCAAAAGGTAGTTTTGCGGAGTCCAGGGGCCAGACGCCAAAAACCCTACCGTCTGGCCCTGGAGTCCGAGATGGACTCTTGCCTTTCGGGTGAAACCGACTTTGTGGAGGCTTTTCCTCCAAGTTTCGACCCTAAGGCTCAACATATAAATAGAGGGGTAGGGCTAGCACCCAAGGCACATCAAGAAACACCAAGCCATGTGTCGGCTATCCCTTCCCCTCTAGTTTATCCTTCGTCATAGTTTTCGTAGTGCTTAGGCGAAGCCCTGCGGAGATTGTTCTTCACCAACACCGTCACCACGCCGTCGTGCTGTCGGAACTCATCTACTACTTCGCCCCTCTTGCTGGGTCGAGAAGGCGGGGACGTGATCGAGCTGAACGTGTGCTGAACGCGGAGGTGCCGTACGTTCGGTACTTGATCGGGACGGATCGTGAAGGTGTACGACTACATCAACCGCGTTGATAAATGCTTCTGCTTACGGTTTACGAGGGTACGTAGACAATACTCTCCCCTCTCGTTGCTATGCATCACCATGATCCTGCGTGTGCGTAGGAAATTTTTTGAAATCACTGTGCTCCCCAACACATTATTCTTCTTCTTACCATCCAATTTTTAGGAAGGTATGGGTCCGGAGCTCGACTCCCGATCCAATGGGCTTAAGTCTTAAGAAAGTTCAGTGCATACTTAACATGGAGCAACCTATGGACAATGATTTCTTCAACACTATCGTGCGTATACTAGCATGTGACGAGGGAGTATTGTTCACAGACCCTCCTATACACTACATGGATCTAAAATTTTGTGTAAGTTATTGTAACTCTTCATTCTATGTGTCATTAGTATCAACATGTTGAAATAATATTTCTTTTTTTACTTAGTCCATGATGCTAGAGTCAACACGAGGTCAGAAGATTTGCGAGAAGGAAACTATCCATACGTTGGCAACATTATTTGATAGTTGGCCTAAACAACATCTCATCGTGCAGTATGATAAGTAAAGTATTTTGTCTATTGTTATCATGGTTTATTGTTGTTTCTAATAGCTCCACTTGTAGATTTATCTTCCCTATGCATCCATCGGCCGATATATCTTATATGTCATCGACAAAGAGGCACGTCGTCTATATATTATGGATCCTATTTAAACATCACAATCGTCAGAGGATAAAAAATTAAGGCATGAACTAAAATTAAAAAGTTTTGCAGGGGATTTCAAAGAAGCACTCGAAATAAAGCTACCTGGTTGGAAATTCTGATATATCTAAATGGCAACGTTTATTTCCGTTTGGTATTCCAACGAGTATCGACGGGTAATGAATTCATAACATAAACATTTATTTTTGTTATCACTATATTCTTTATATTATTAATTTAAAGTTTTGCAGGAATGTGTCTGGCTATTTTGTTTTTCATTTTATGCTCTGATGAATGGTAAAGAATTGGTCAAGTGGGTTTGCGCGGTGAGTATTGTCTGTTACATGTTTTAAGACCTTCGGCGTGAAATTTTTATACTAACTACATATATTGTTTGTGCAGGATGGATATGAGTTGAGGAAGCAATTTTTATTATACTTGCTAAAACATCGTGGGAATGAAGCTAAACACAACTTTCCTGATATTGTGAAAGAATTTTTTTAAGCGCATCATCTAGATATTAAGAGTTTTATAATAGATGTTTAGTTGGAACATCACTCAGTTTGTTACATTAACATGTCATTAATTTTACTTTATGTTATCAGTTTACTTTGCAAAAATGGACTTCAGTTATTAAATAATTATGTTTGTGTTATATTGTTTGTTCGTGTGGAATTTAACATGTAACTTTTGCAAACTATTTAAAGAGCATGTACTTCTACCACAGCCCACCGGTGAAGTTGTTGCTTGCTAGGACCAGAGTGCGGAGGTTGACGCAGTCGAGCAGGTCCTTCGGTATGCTTCCGTTCAGCGAGTTGTTGCCCACTGAAAAGAACACGAGGCCCTGTAGCTGGCCAAGCCCAGCAGGCAGGTGCCCTGTCAACTCGTTTGATGACATGCTCGCGTTGGACAGCAACGTGCAGTTGGCTATGCTCACCGGAATTGGGCCGGACAGCGAGTTGCTGTGGATGATGAGCTTCCGGAGATTCCGGAGCGCCCCGATGTTCTCCGGCAGCCGGCCAGACAGGGAGTTGTTGCTGAGCGACAGGTATGTCAGGTTGACAAGATTCGTCAGAGACGTCGGAACCGTGCCGGTGAGCCGGTTATCATGGAGCGTCAGCGTCTGGAGCGACCGGAGCTCGCCGAGCTCCGGCGGGATCGAGCCGGTCAGCTGGTTCGTGGACAGCCCAAGCGATACTAGCTTCGTGCACCGCCCCAGCGAGCTCGGGATCTCGGACGACAGCACGTTGTGGTACAGGCGCAACTCCTCCAGGTTCACGAGCTCCCCAAGCTCGCGAGGGATGGCGCCGGTGAATCGGTTGCTGTATATGTTGAGCCTGGTGAGGTTCTTACACCGGCCGAGCTCCGACGGGATTGGTCCGGAGAAGCGGTTTTCCACCAGCTGAAGAATCCAGAGGTGCGAGAAGTTCCCGATCTCCGGCGGGATCGAGCCGGACAGGTTGTTGGCGCTGAGGTCCAGCGACTTCATCTGCGTGAGTTTGGCGAATGAAGGCGGAAGCTCGCCGTCGAGATTGTTCATAAAGGCCTCGAATATCTGGAGTTTGTGGAGATCGCCGATGCAAGACGGGATTTGGCCGGTGAGGTTGTTGGTGTTCAGGCCGAGCGCCCACATCGCCGAGCAGTTGCAGAGGCGGCTCGGGATGCCGCCGCTGAGGGAGTTGTTGCCGAGGTCCAGGAGCTGCAGGCTCCCCAGGTCGCCGAGCTCCGGGGGGATGCCGCCGGCGAAGCCGTTCTCGGTGAGGATGAGCTGCTGGAGCTCGCCGAGGCGGCCGAGCTGCGGCGGGATGGCGCCGGTGAAGCCGTTCTCGGTGAGGTCGAGGAGCTGGAGCGTGGAGATGTTGCCGAGGAACGGCGTGAGCGTGGCCTGGAGCTGGGTCTGGAGCAGCTGGATGGACGTGACGCGGCCCGCGCCGTCGCAGGCGACGCCGGTCCAGTTGCAGTGGCGCGGCACCCCGCCGCGGACGGCGTCGCCGGCCCCCGCCGTCCAGTCGGACAGCGCGCCCAGCGGGTCGGCGGTGACGCCCTTCTTGAACGCCAGCAGCGCCTCGAGGTGCAAGGGCGCCGCCGCGTCCGCCGCGAGCAATGCCACCGCCAGCCAGACAGCGAGAACCGGCGGCAGCAGCCAAGTGCGACGAGCCACCATTTCTAGTGCGATCTTTGTTCCTTGCAGACTTCAATCTCATGTGAATACTATGTACTATGTGATTGAATCGAATAAATTCGCGAGTGCTTTTAAGCAACATCGAACCATGCTGTCCACGTCTGTGTGTGTGAGTGTCAACCCGAGGCGCGTCGACACGCGACGAAAGGGACCAGATTGACTCGAAATCTGGCGGGAAGTTTGATTCAAAGGGAGAAGAAGGTGGCAGTCTTGCCGTGCCGACATGGCTTAGATAACAGAAAATGGATGATGGTTTCAGACCATACTAGATTCTCTTTGCAGCGAGCATTAAAAAGGAGTAAAACAGATCCTAAAAAAAAGAGTAAAATTGCAGAGAAAATTGATAACAGATGATGGTCCACGGAGGAGAGAAATTGCTCTTTTCAGCGAGCTTTAAAAAGGAGTAAAATTCACTGGTGGTCCCTGTACTTTTCTCACTGGTTCACTTCGGTCCATGTACTCAAGACCTTAGAGCAACTCCAACGCGCCGACCTATTTTGTCCGCACGTGTTCGTTTGGGTTAAAACGGACACAAAAATTGGCACAACGCGCCGACACAAACGTACGCGCGTCTATTTTTTATCCGCCCGACGATCCATTTCTGGCCCAAATTTGGATCTCATTTGCGTTGGCGTGGACATGAAACGAATGCGCGCGACGCCGGCCTACTCCTTCCTTGACCCGCCAGTCGGTGGCACAACCACCACCATTTCCCCACTTTCTCAAAAAACTCCCGCCCGCTCGCCATGGATGACGTCCCGACCCTCGATGCCGCTGCCGGCCTCGCCTCCTCCAACCTCACCTTCATCGCCTCTGCCAAAGGCAAGCCCCGCGCACCCTGCAAGACTGCGGCACCGCCCAAGAAGAAGCAGTTGACGCCGAAGCAGTGGGCCCTGCAGTCGGCCAAGAGAAAGGGTCGGAGACATGCGCGGATGCAAAGCTCAGAACCGCGGCTGCCGCCTCCCTCTCCGCCGCCGCACAGCAGGAGGAAACCAATGCCCGAGTCGTCACGGCAACGAGGGAGACCCTGCTCTACCTAGGGTTAAACCCTGGCTATCATGTGCTCGTCTCCGCCGCCGTGGCCGCGGCGAGCATGGGGTTGTCGGCATTTCCTCGGGTGGTACTGCCAGAGTCACCGCGCGCGTCTACCACACAGCCGATTCCCAGCTTCCATATCTATCTGCAAGCCTCCCGCTTCTCTGGGGAATGCTCGTCGGAGGTGAGCCTAGTGGCGCCATCCACACCCGCGCCCATGGCTATCGACCTCAACGCCGCACCGGTGGCCAGTGGATCATCCTCTAGAGGGACGAGGAAATGCATGCAACCTGTTCGACAGAACGCCGGTCACCAGTGACGACGAGATGGCCAACCGTTTCTCATCGAGAACATCATCTTCGAAGGCGGTGTGGGAGCCGCTGCCTCCGCAGGCGGTGCGGGCGCGGCTGCCTTTGATCCCGACAAGACCCATAAGCCAAGACGGCAGAGCGCCCTTCATGCCAGCCACCTTTGATCAAGTTGGCATGGACGATTCCTTCATGCAAGACCAGGTCGGCATGGGCAGCACCTTCCCGCTCGACCTCGAATTCCCAGAGGACTATGGCCTCGAGGAAGAGGATGAAGTGAGCATCGATGGGGAGCCTTTGTTAGAGCACAAGCTCGCCAACCAAGCCGGCGCAAACAAGAAGCGCAAAAGCAAGCAGACGAAGGCATACACGCAGCCGGAGGACAAACTCCTTTGTGAGTGTTGGAGGGACATTGGACAAGACCCCAAGGTCGGCGCCGAGAAAAAGGCATCTACCTTTTGGCTTCGTGTTTATCGTGAGTACCATGAATGCAAGAAGTTCGAGCCGTACCAAATGGAGAGCAAGCGCGGGTGGGTGTCGCTCTTGAAGTGATGGAGGGTGATACAACAAGAGTGGGACAAGTTTTGTGCAACCCTTCAGAGCATCCAAGCACGTCCTATGAGCGGCCTCGGCCTCAAAGATATGGTATACATGCGCCACTCTTCCTATATGTTTATCGTTATGCTTGCATGCCCATTTGCTCATATGCTTGCATGCTATTCACTTGTAGGCATTCTAAGCTTTGGAGGCATTCAAGACCCCACATGACAGCAAGTCCTTCAACCTCACCCGTTGTTGGATGATCATCAACGGGGAGGAGAAGTTCAAGGCGCAATATACTGCTGCCAAAGCACGTGGGGGTGGAAACCGTCGAGGAGCATGGGGAGGGTGAGAAGCCACGACCGCGGGGGAAGACCAACTCCAAGAAGGAGGACAAGCGCGATGTGGCGTCGATTGCCTTGCATGCCACTTTGGAGGGCATGATGAAGAAGGACACAAGGGAGGAGAAGCGCCGACAAGACAATGAAGATCAAATGAACGCCTTCATGGTGATCCGAAGGAGGAGGCTTGAGCTCGATGCGAAGAAGCAAGTCAAGATGCTCAAGATGAAGGCAGAGAAGCAAGTGAAGATGCTCGAGATCGAGACCACCAATGCCAAGACCAAAGGTAAAAAGAAATGGTGCTCGCTAGCATGATGACAAGGGTGGAGATCATGAAGGTGGACTTGAACACGGTGTCACTGAGGAAGAGGCAATGGTTCGAGAAGATGCAAGTCGACATGCTCAAGTTCGATGACGAGTGATCTATGATGGAGAGCGTCATTCTTTTTTTATGCCGGCAAGTGTACTGGCATGACCACGGCCGAGATGGCGTGGTCGAACTCCCGCCCTTTATATGTACTGGCATGGCGCCGACATGAACTCTGGACGATGGCATGGCCGCTGACATGATCTATGGCCAGGAGCCTTTTAAAATTTGTATGTGGATATGAAATGTATCGGCACGTTGGACGCATTGCCGATCCAAATATAAAATGGAGCGGATAATTCGAACGAAAAAAGTGTGCGTCCGTTTGGCTCGGGTCGCGTTGCAGTTGCTCTTAGTCAATACAGTCACTGTATACTCACCCAGCTTCGTATTTTCTTTATGTTGACCGGTCAACTCTCCATCCACGCGGGTCCCATATGTCAGTGAATAGAAGAAAGAAAGAGAAGGATAAAACATTGCGCGAGTGGGGGATTCGAACGGGAGAGTTCCGGGTGAGGGATTCGAACGCACCAGCCACCTGAGCGCACAACGAATTCTGTCAATAAGTAGAGCTCTAGTCTACTGTAGATAGTGTTCTATTGGGCTAACTGTGAACGTTAAGGCACCTTTAGCCCACCCCTTAAAAGAGCTTAACTCTAGTGCAACCCTCGAAACGTTTAAGTTCTCAAGGAGTGAGGAGTAGTGTCGGCGGGCACGTTCATTTGCCTCCGATGGCCACCCGCAACCCTTCCAATCTCCGGTCACCAAATTCCGGCTAGATTTCGACAAGATTCTTGTGAAGTTTTTATCGGAAGGAATTGGAGGTCAGCACATGATGAAAATCACTGCAAGCTCAGTCATATACATGAAGACGGAACCAATCTATTTCTCTATGCAATTTCTGTGTGAGAATCTGAAACTATCTAGAAATTACTTGGACATACGGAGGTTCTATCGAGGATTGCATTATTGTTCCCGGAAGAGACTGTGGACATCCTCTTCTTTCCTTGAAGTGGTCATTGTTGCTAGTTGGAATATTTGAATACTTGAAAGCTCGAAGTCGAAGCTGAAATGTGTGTGTGTGTGTGTGTG